AAAGAAGAGCTGAAGGTGTTATTTAATGTTAGAGCACTTCCCTAGGATACACAAAGCCTTGGGTTTGATCCCCAGAACTGCCAAAAATCCCACAGAAATAAATACATATAAGGCTCATCAGTTAGATATGTTCATTACCCCGACTAGAGGTATATACATGTAACAAAACTTCACACTATATCACATAAACATGCACAGTTGTTTTTTCAATTAAAAATAAGTTTTCCATAAAAAATCCTGATAGTATATATTTATGAAGACTAAATAATTTATCAATAATGAATAATGAGGGGGAAACTAGTGGGGCCAGTGTGCATACCAGTAAAGATTTTATGAAATGAATTAAATGAATAATAAATAAGAAGCTTGTAAGGGAGCCACACGCCCAAGGAACAGCAATGAGGGTGACGCCAGTGGGGCTGCTCCTCAGTCCTGGAGGATAGTGGCATGCAAGGGCCTCACACCAAGGGGGCTCAGCCCTGCACCTGGGCCACATAAACAGAAACTCAGTGTACAACAGGACTGCTGATGCTTAAATTCTTTTCCATTTAATTTTTTTTGGCCAATTTTGCATGCTTATATCTGACAATCTGAACAATTAATTTGGGGCTAATGATATGCAATATTTTAACCATTGTTGTATTCCTATCATTTTGTTTAGTGAAATTCTGTATTTTTGAATTTTTAAAAAATTATATATATTTTTAAAGAATTTTTAAAAAGGAATTTTTATTCTTTTTAAAAAATAATAAATAAAAACAGGGGCAGAGTGTTTTTTGCACAGTGGAAGGAACATTTCAGCAACCACAGAACTCCTACAGCCTCTGAAATTTCCTAAGTGAGAGGATGACAGGAAGGATCTAACTCATAGTGATGATTTCAGGTGGGCACTGTTGCTTAGAAGACCAAGCCCCGAGAGGCAAGGAGCTCGGAACCCACAGTCCTCACTTTTCACCTCCAGGGAGAGGAGAGGGGAGGTTCAGTGTCGGGCACTTCACTCAGTCTGGCCTATGAAGCCTCCAGAAGCCCCCAAACCAGGGGTGTGTGGGGCTTCCCAGTTGGTGACCACACTGGGGTGCCGGCTGGTGGCCCTGTAGAGAGAACAGAAGCTCCTCCAGTGCCTCCCCATACTTCCCTCGGACACTGCTTCCCTCAGGCTGTCCGCCCAAGTTACCTCACTGACAGTAAACCAGCAATAGGAGGGATTCTTCTCAGCTCTGTGAGTCATTTTAGTGAGGATGAACCCAAGGAGGGAGGTCATGGGGACCCGACTTGGGGGCAAGAGGGCCAAGAATGAGGTCTTAGGGCCCACTGATAGGCAAGTCTAATAGGAGTCCCATGCCACGTGTAGCTGGGGTCCCAAAGGGCTAGGCACTCGGGAAGAGAACCACAAGAGACCACCTAAGACTGCAAGGGAGGGCACTTCTATGCGGGGCACGCTGAGCAGGGTCTGTGCTCTGGTGGCCACCAGGTGGCTTTCACAGGAACCCGCAGCTCCAGCCAGTCTGCACCACCGTGGCAGGGTACAGGTCTTCACCTGGGATCTAATTCAAAGGACTACAGTAAAACCAAATGGAAATCCTCCATACTAAAAGGCAACTGATCGCAGGCCTCTTATTATTCCTAAAAATTAAAGTTCAGTAACAATCAGCCACAGTCAGGTAGCCAAATACATAGAAACGTGCTACCGCATGAGCATATGCCAGGAGGAAAAGGGAAACAAGGAGCGAGCCTCAAAAGCTTCACATATTCAAACGATCCGTCACAGATGCTAAAGCCATTTCACCAGCTATGTTTAAGAAATAAAGGACACATTTGACATCATCTTAAGGGAACGGCAGACTAAAAAAAAATGACTGTGCAACCTTGGATTAGGCTTTGGCTTCTTAGACAGGCCATCAAGAGCACAAGCAACAAAAGAAAAGACAGGCAAGCTGGACAGCGTCAGATTTAAAAAAATGTGCTTTAAAAGGACACAGTCAAGAAAGTGAAAGGAAAACCTTAGAGTGGGAGAAGACTTGTGCAAATCATATACTGACAAAGGTCTAATGTACAGGTCAAATAAAGAACTCCTTTTAATATTTAAAAACCAAAGACCTAATAATCCAATACTAAAACCACACTGCAACTTGCTCATGGGTTTGGAAAACTTTCAGCTGCTCTACTGAGCCTTCTGCTGCGTCCCCTGGATCGCAGAGCTAGGTGAGCCCATTTATTTTCCTCTGGCTGTCAGGTCCCTGCAGCGTCTTTTCCAAGGTTGGACATTAACACTGGCCAAAAGCCTTTACGTGAGGGTCACCACAGTAGAGCACCAAGGTGTTCCAACTGAGAACTCCTGCTCAGTAGCTTTGGTGGAAACAAAATCTATCAAGAGTATCTGATTCTGCTATTTCTCCCAGGGGAGCAATACAAAAGAGGAAACTTTGCTTGCTTGCAGCTGACCATGGGGACCTATGAAATCACTGAGGCTGCCGGATGGTTCTCAAGATGAATTACCCAAGGCCACACTGCTAGAGAGGTGGAGTCTGGATTTGTGCCCAGGTGTCTGACTCCAGAGCCATTCCTGACTGGGACCTGCCACAGGTGGCTTCCTGTCCCTGGCTAGGTCCTAGAATCTGGCCTGTGGTACATGGGAGAGTTGAGTGACATGGCCAAAGTATATGGGGTGCTCAGGATCCCCTGAAGGCTCTATTATGTCTTTCCTGAGTTCCCCCCGGACACAGGTCCTGGTAAGGGCCACGGCTGTGCTTATATGTGGGGTGGGGACAGTCCAATGCAGTTTGCTCTCTTTGGGCTGGGCTGTGGCAGAAGGCTGAGACCCCTAGCTTCCAGGGTCTCTGGTGGGTAGCTTCTCAGAGCAGACACCCAGTATGGCGGACTGGCTTTCAGAGCACAGGAAAGCGGGACTCAGTGCTTCTGCTCCTGGCTTGGCACTTGAGAAGCTAGGCTGCCTGGGTCTGGTGAGCAGCCCGTTTTATCTCAGGAACTGGGCCACTTGGAAGGGCCGTTTCTAAGCTTCAGAAGCAAGCTTCCTTCCATGCGGAGTAGCTAGCATCATTCCGGCAAGAAGCTAGCGAGCACTTGCTCAGGGGTTCAGCCCGGATAGCAATGCCTCCATTTGTCCAACACAGCGTTGAAGAGGGCGGCACATCTGGCTGAACAGAGGCACTAAGCTAAGGCCAAGGGCACACAGGAGCAACGCCTTATTGAACGCTGGGGCCTTTCAAGTTCAGCTCTTTGCGCATTACCAGGAATTTGCTTTAAGAAATGTCCGGGAGAGCACTGGGGACACCACGGTCATGGTTACGCTTAGCAACAACCACCATGATTACTAGTACGCAAGCATCAGTTGAAGGCTTCTCATGTGCCAGCCAGCCACAGGACTAAGAGCGTCAAGCTCACCTCACTGAGGCCTCTCGATAATCTGGAGATGGTTTTTTATTTCAAATGGAGAAACTGAGGCACAGTAAGGCTGATCTGGCTGGTGATTCCTGGTCTCACACAATTCAGGAGTGACAGAGCTGGACAGAGGCCAGGATTGTGGTGAACGTGAACTGAGTTTTGCTGAATGGCAAAGCTGGGCGTGCTGAAGCAGCACGACAAGCGACCTTGCAAAGCAGCAGCGAAACACCAGGGATCTTACTTTATTCTTCTCAATTGTGCAGCTAGGGCCCAGGCAGAGACCAGGAGGGGGCAGTGCTAAAAGAAAGCCTGTAGCAAGGAAGACCAGGATGCGGAGTGGAGGGCAGCAATGACCTCCTTTCCTGGTGGCTTCTCTGAATAAAGACGATGCTTGTAATCACATCGATACTTTGCACCTCCCTCCCAGCTGCTGGGCCTGTCCACATGGCACAGCCCAGCTGTCTAGCCTGCACAGGGAAGGAGTAGGGACCTGGGAAAGATGCTGTGGATTTTCCTTTGGTCCCCTGCTGGCAGTGCCTTCATGTGTTTACATGCTTTTAGGACAGAGCTTTAAAGAAAAGATGTTACCAGCTCTGGGTGCCTTCACGTCCTCTTCAAGCACAGTTCTGGAAAGCGCTCATCTCCTACCCTCTCCTCATCTGCGTTTAGGCAGGCTGTCTGTTCACTGCTGCGTCACAGGCACTAGTCTCGAGTTTGGTGACAATGCAGGAACTGAGGAGCATCCTTACCTCATCTGAAGAGCCATTTTCCACTCTGAATCTTCCAGCCCTTTGGATGGCTCCATCAGCATCACTGGAAATGAGCTAGGTGAAGGAAGAAAGAGGGCTCAGTTAGGCAGCTGAACCACCACACACGATGCTGCTGTCTGTGCAAATCCCTCCCATCTGTAGGCCAAACCCAGCAGCATGAGCTGGTGGGCCCAGCCTACAAGCTCTATTAGCGGAGTGCTCACACAGTTGGCCCCTGGTCGCAGGAGTCTACTAGTAAGGACCTCTTAGCCTGCAAGAGTGAAAAACAAGAGCATCAAATCTAAATCTGAACAGTTTCCAAAGCTGGAAACATTAAAGCAATGCTCCCTGGAAAAGCAACGTAACACGCATCACATGTGGACAAGCGACAGCTCACAGATGGCAGAACCCAAGGCCAGGTCTCAAGTTCAGCTGCCTTCCCAGGAAAGGCTGAAGAACCATCAGTGGCTGGCAAGGACCCAAGGTCTGCTTCCATCAGAAGGCGCTTTTGCGCCTCATTCAGTATAAGGGATTTCCAAAAGGCCACTGTGGCAGCTGGCAAGGTGACACCTGCCGGAGGGCCATCTTCAAGGGGCTCCACACGAGACTAGGCTTGGAAAGTTAGTCCTGCAGTCAGTGACTCAAGAGTTTCTCCCAGACTTCTTAGAAATGACTTGAAAAAATGACAGATCTTTTTTGGGTTTTAATCTTTTAAATCTGTTCACAACTTGCATCAAAGATCTGCCAACAATATCCACATCCCAGACTCACTAAATGCATCACCTAGAAGGGTGCTTCTCCCTGCTCGAACTCAGGGGCCCCCCGGAAACAGAGACCCAGTGTCTTGGGAAAGACTGCTGGCTTATGCTCGCCTGGCTCTAAGACACACAAAGGTGTGGCATGAAAGGGGAAATTTCATAAACATCCTCCACAGATTTTCCTGAAGAAAGTATTTTAAAAAGCTTGGCAAGTTTTTCTCATGATGTCACTAAGCATACAAAACGGTACCTAACATTTATGAGTGCTGCTTCTCCGTGTGCCATGCACTCTTCTGCCCATAATATGTATGAGCTCATCTGGTTCTTGTGATTGTAACACAGGGTAGGTGTTGTTATTCCTCTCAGTTATGAATTGAGGCAACGGTCACAGAGGAAGGTAAAACCACCATCTAAGGTCATGAGTGGTTGCCTGAGGCCTAGCCGGGATGTGACCACCGGCGGCCAGACTGAAAGCTTACTATCCTTATTTGTAATCGTTACTTTACCTATCACGTCCAGTTTCCACACCATTCTAACCCACAAAGTAATTTCTGAAAACAACTAAAAAGAAAGTTTCTGTGTATGTGGCTGGCTATTGCTGGCAGCAGATCACACGTCACACGTCAGTGAACTGAGGGTAGCAGAATTTTGCCTCCTCCAGAGGCATAGCTTTGCCCTTGGCTTCCAGGAGGTGACTTCTAACCCCTGGGAATGTCCTGCATGAATGCTTCTTTATTTAAAGAACTTGAGCCACACTGGATAGTAACACTGTTTTATGGTGGGGTTTTGGGTCCGACAGCTCTACCTCAGGAGAGGCTGGAGGTTAAGGTCAACCGTGGGTCACACACTGTTGGGAGACTGAGGGAGTGACAGAAATTGGCCTTGTGAGAGGTTCGGCTTTGCCCTCGGCTCCCATGTCCATGTGACCAAGCTCACTAAAGCCTCTGCAAATCACGACTCAGGGGTTGCTCTGGTAGGCAGTGTCTTATGTGCACTGCCAGCCGTGTTGATAGGAAGCAACCATGTGGCCAGGACCCCTGGTGAGGACCTGGAAGGTCTCCATTTGGAACGCTCCCGGACTCCACCCCAAGCTGACCGGGTCTGTATCCTCTGTTCTCATGAATCGTAAGTGAGCTTAACAGCTTGCAGTGAGTTCCATGTGTTCCTCCAGCAAATTACTGGAACACAAGGTGGTGTTGGGGCAGATGGCGTCAGAACTGTGGACTGCTCGCTGACCTTACAGAGGCCAATTCTCAAGCACAAGACCAGATAAGTTTTGGTCTCACTGCAAGGCAAGTGAGAAGAGTCAGTGTCAATGTCACCTACTCACTGTCTATTCAAACAGAGGGAAGAGCAAAATAGGATTTGGGCGGGTTACTCGTATAGGCTGTCCCAAGGGCTTTGGGAGAAGCCTTCTGCAATCACAGAGGGATTTAGCTAGAGGAGAGCAGCACCGCCAGCCAGCTTCTGATGTCTCGCCTAGCCGTACTGAGGGGGCACACCCACTGGAGACAGGGGTTGTCAGGTCGTCCTCACTATAGCTAGCCTCGTCAAGGACAGCATGCGGTGGGAAGGAGCAGGCGAGGAGCCGGCAGCTGCTGGCTCACGCGCACACATGAAGCACAAATCCAGCGTCCTCCACTATATTCCAGACACTGCCAGGAAAGCACCCTTTTCCTTTGCTGAGATTAGAATACAGAACATGTTACTTGTTTTACTTAAGACGATTGAGAAGACAGGAAGAACACTTTTCATGATTTGAGAGTTAGAAGTTTAGCGCCCCCTGAAATCAGGATCCAAAACCTGTAAAGATGCTTACTCGGGGTTCAGGCTAAGCTGTTTAATTGTGTCATCTTTATTAGCTCCCCATCACTATATCTTCGCCAAAGTCTGCCACGGCCTCCTGACTGACTTAGACACCACAGATTCTCCTTACCTGCCCACTTCCCACACTGCAGCAGGGTGGTTTTGGCAAATTGCGCCTGCAATCCCCCCATAGCACCACCTCTGTCCGCCAGAGGGCGCGCCCTGGGAAGGGTCCCTCTCCCACCTCCCATGGCTCACCCTTCAGATCTCCCCAGGGGCCCTGCTCCAAGATGCCTCCCCTACCAACACTGGCTGGAGAGGGGCCCATGTGAGTCCTCTGGCACTCTGAAGGGTTCCATTTCTTAGTGTGGGTTCCACCGCTTTGTGTGATTACTTGCTTCATGCAGTTTCTCCTCGGGTGTTTGCTCTGTTTCTCACTAGTTTCCACCAGGACAGAGTATGTTTATTTGCTGTCACCACTGTTACCCAGAGCTAAGCACAGTGCCTGGCACAGTGTACATGTTTACTAAACATTGATCAATAAGAAATATGAATAAAAATAATGAAAAAGACAAACAAGAAATATATAATTAGACAAATACCAAAATGCTATTGAAAATGATCAAAGAAATATATAAAACTAGGGGTGAGCCCTGCAGACCAGAGGAGATTCATTACACATGTGAGAAATGCTAGAGATGAGTGAGGCCAAGTATCTAAAGGAGGCAAGTTATCTGGGGAGCCAGTTAATCAGAGCCTGAAGGGTTGAATGTATGCCCCTGGGCCTGCCCACGTGAGCCAGGGGTTGCGCTGGGCATGGGAAGGAGGTCCTGTGGTCACAGGCTGGCGGGCACGTAGTGGGTCCCCTTCCCCCATTCTGTAGCTGGCTCTGGCAGCTGTGGGGGATGGTGTCTGCTGAAGTCTGGCACGTGGCCTGATGCAAAAGGAGACAGTGCCCTAGCAGACTAGGGGTCAAGAAAAACACTATTGAAGAAGAATGTCCCTTAAGACAGCAGAGAAGCTGTTTGCCAGGCAGATGTCCCCATCTGTGCTTTTAATTACTCTCATGAACTGTGATCTAGCCAATCCATATCCTTCCCGGTTGTTGGAAGGAGGCTGATGGAGGAGCCTCCACCGGAACCACGTGAACATCCAAGGCCCCAAGCTGAAAGCTCACTCGCGTGCTGGACCTACTCAGTGCAGTCCCAACTGCCATTGAACCCCTCGTGCACCTGGGCACAGGCCGGGCCTCACTTCCCTCGTGGGGGCCACTGATTCAGTCCCCTCCACTTGCAGGTGAGCTCCAATCCTGGGAGGAATTTACGGGCCCAGGCTCCTCAGGAGAAATGAGGTACCTCCTTTTTTACTTTTTTCTTCTCCACTGGCTAGAACCCCAAGTGACAGAGAGGTACTGGGAGCCCCCAATGCAGACGAGGGACGCGTGAGGCTGGGTGTGGAAGCAGACTCCTGCCTATTAACCTATCGGCTGGCTGTGAGAGCGCAGTGGACTTGTCATTCTTCACTATATGGTGACACTGTGAGACAACTATAGTCTACTCCATGCGTGAGGAAAACCACTGGTACCACGACAAGTTTCTGTTTGCCCTGTGTGCCAGGCATGTGCGAGGCAGATGCTCTGTCCATCATGTCCACTATGGAAACTAACCTAAAATATCAGAGCAGATGTTCCATAAAAGGATTTATCTGCCATAAAAAGCAAAGGAAATTTTAGAAAACCTCTAGTTACTGTAGTAATTTGACTGATCCTGGATATATGAAAGTGAATAATCCGTGATCAGGTTTCAAATGAAAAACATCAACTCTTGAATTTTGGCAGGCAGTGACTACAATCACCAAAAAACTAGATGCAAGCTGAGTGTGGTGGTATATACATCTATAATTCCAGCGCTCCGGGAGGCTGAGGCAGAAAAATCTCAAGTTCAAACCTAGCCTGGGCAATTTAATGACTTAATGAGACCAAGTTTCAAAACAAAAAGTAAAAAAGGGGCTGGGAACGTAGTACTGAAAATTTTACATTTAATATAGTAGGAAATTTTAGTGTGCTTCTCTCAGATCAAGGCAATAGTTAGTAAGGATGTATAAAATAATCAAATAATAAAATTGAGTAAGCACAACTTAATAACCATGCACTGAATTTATTAAGTTACAAAGAAAGAGTACATAACTTTTGAAAACACTGATTAGACTTTAAAAGAATGATCTAATTTTATAGGCATGAAAAAACCTACAAAATAACAAAATCTAAAAAACTATCAAATTGTATGGATCATGGTTTAGTATAATGTAACAGAATGAGAAAGTCACTTCAAAAGGATAAAACAACTGGAAGTCCAAAGAAATACACTTGGAAAAGCTCTTGCCCCAGTGAGATCAGATAAACTGGGCATTCGCCAAACACCGAGACTAAGGAGCATTCGCATTACGGCATGTGCGGCCACAGCTGCTCCACGTTCGGGCAAATCCATACTCCTAAATGCTCCCGTCCTCACA